TTGTACAACAAACAAAAAAATGGGATCACAACGGTGGCGGTCAAATTCGTCAGCCACTTTAAAATGAGAACAAACTATAAAATCTGATAAATTATCGTTATATGTATTATTTTTTCTATAATCTCTGCCTACGCCAACTTTCCGTTCGTTACGATTGTTTCGATCGCAAGCAAGCCGCCATGGACGTGTCCTACTCCGAGTGGACAAAGCTTGTGCGGCATGCAAAAGAAAAGTCCAAGGTGTAGTCTCTTAACACTTGAGATGCGTCCATGTTCAGTGGTCACCCGTTGTATTATTTCTTTGAATAAGATGGATGTATATGAAATTGACAAGATGAAGTCAAATCAAGAATCCTACTTTGGTCCAAATTATTATAAATCCAAGTTTGGATTGTTGAACTCGTTGAATAGCGATTTTATTCTAGGCACTGACGAATTCTGGGTGCAACCCCAAGGAAGCAACAATTTGGGAATCTGCATGCATCCAGGACACGCAGCAATGAAAGGCCACTCTCAATCGATGCAAAAAACACATCGGCGTATCCCATAAATTCGTAAGACAGTGACGAGTGAACGGTTGATAATGTAGGAGTTGATTGATAGTTACCGTCACCGCTCTCTCTGGCGCACAAATCAACAGTTCATGTCATATTATTGATTATGTCCGCACCTGCAAAGTGTTTCCTACTTTTGTTTTTGTATCATAACAAACGATAGTGCATCTATGGTTATAAGGTCCCTATCTGATCTAAAAATTCTTGACTTTGTCTTGTCGGATGATGTTGTTGTATATATATGGATGAATTTCGTGGAACCATTTAGTTAATTAATTGATTATAGAAATATAATATACAATTGTTATGACTCAATAGTTTGATTCAATATGGTATTATGTTTATTTGATTTATTGATCTATTTTATAAAATTAATTCGCACATATAAATTATTTTTTAAATTTTAAAAATCTATTTAAATATATTTTTAAAATAATTTTTATTTTATTTATTTTGATTTTAAATTTTTTTATATCTTATAAATTAATAGGCCAAGTGAGAGAATACTATATTATGTGGTCCTATCTAATTAGATAAGATATATTATTGATATCGGTTAAAAGAAACGAAATAATATGATTCCTTAGGAGATATTATGTATCCTAGAAGGAACTTTCTAATTAAGTATCCTAAATATTGTGCTGTTGCTAAAAATGATAGAATCCTCTAATATCATAAAAAATATATATATACATATAGGAGGAGATAGAGATACATGATATTATTGAGAATTACAAATATTCTTTCATCTCCTCTTAATCATGTGAACTAGTCAATGAGAGATTATAAATATTCTTTCATCTCTTATTTATCCATAATTAATCACTATAACTTTTACATCCGACGATGTATTTGTAAATCAAATAAAAACTTTCTGAATGATATCAAAAAGTATGCATCATAAATTTGATATATTATTATTTGATTTTAAATTTTAATATTAAAATATTTTAATAAAAATGATCTTTATACTTGCACACGGACCTTGCCAAACTTTGCGATGGGGCAAATTTTTTTGGACAAGGCAGTAAAGCAATCAGGAGGAAAGACACCAAGAAGATGGTGAGCCTCCGGAGGTTAGATGGACCGGATGGCAGTCTGGCGCTCGTTGGCCATGTTATTCTTGTGAGTAAGAGACCATTCTTTTTTCTTTTTTTTTGATAGACATGACTGGTTTTTTTTTTTACATAATTTCTAGGTTAATTGGTGATGAATGACGTTACCGTATTATACTATGGCAGATCAATCAAATCAACTGGTCATGGCAATTTTGGTGGGACTTTTATGACATTCTCGCTGAGAGATTTGAATCTGTGCATGTCGAAATTGACCGTTTTATTTAATGATGTTGACGTGACCATATCATGCTATGGCAGCTCGATCAAATCAACTGGTCATGGCACTGTTGGTCGGATTTTTTTGACGGTCTTAACGAGAGATCTGAATCTGTGCAAGTCGAATTTGACCGTCTCATTTAATGACGTTGACGTGACCGTATCATGCTATGGCAGCTCGTGATCTTGGCAGTGTTGGTGGGAGTTTAGACCGTTGAACTGAGAGATTTATGACACAATGATGTTGATGAACATTTTGATTTTGATGCATAGTTATGTTATCGGTCGTCTATAAGAAATATTGTTTTACATATTTTGATATATATAATATTTTTTATTTATTAAAAAAATAAGATGACCAACTGATTGATCAGATTTTTCAATCATTTATTTTTTAAAAGAGAGGAGTGGCATTTTCGATTTAGCTTTTTATTACATTCCCATATCGGAATGCCATTTGTAACCCGTTGATTTAGTTAAGAAAATTTATTTTTTTGAAATAAAAAATCATATCACTAATATCTCGATCATTTTGACCATTAATTTAGTTATCCAATCGTGACTGATTCATTAT